CTCCATAGCAGGCCAGTAACAAAGTCCATAGAGATGTGTTCCCAGGGATGGTCAGGTATCGGCAGGGGACGTAGGATGCCAAAGGGGACGTGCCAGGAGGTACGACTTCGTTGGCGTATATGGCAATTGGCCACAAAGCGACCTCTGTCCCGCCTCATACCGGGCCAAACGTAGCGTTGGGACATGAGTTTGTGGGTCTTAGCACGTCCCGGGTGCCCTGCCGAAGGTCGGTCATAAGAATCCCGTATCAGCCGTATGCATAATTCGTCATGTTGGGAGACATAGATCCGATCACGATAGAGTAGCCGATCCCCATCTCGTTTACATTCATTGAGTGACAAGAGACAGGAGTGTCTATCGCCATTGTCGAGGGCGCCGAGAACCTGGATTGGAATTCTGTCAGCTTTATAGGCCTCTTTCCAAAGTTCTTCAATAGGGGACACTCCAGTAGGGAGCGTAATGTTCGCCAACAAACACAGAGACTGAGACTTCAAGACGAGTTGAGTTCGATGGTCTCGTCGTTCCTCCGCTTCCTTACGGGTCTCGTTGTTCATACGAGTCAGGGTATCAGCTTTGCCATTCAGCTTTCCAGGCTGATATTCGATCTTGTAGTTGAACTGGGGCAGGAACTCGGACCACCCGGCTTGTCCATTATTTCACAGCCTCTTGGTAGTGAAGTGCTTGAGGTTGAGGTGATCTGTCAGGATTGTTACCGGCCTTCCCAGAAGATAACATCGCCATTCCTCGAAGGCCGAGACAACGGCCATGAGCTCCTTGTCATATATGTTGTAGTTGCATTCTGCCGGGCTGTGCTTGCGAGAGTAGAATGCAACAGGGTGGAGACAGCCACTGTCGTCATTTTGGGACATGACGCCAGCAGAGACGAAGTCAGAGGCATCGGTTTCGATGAGAACTTCCTTAAAGAAGTTGAAGTCGGCTAGGACCGGGGCTGTAGTGAACACTTCTTTTAATCCTTCGAAGGCTTTCTGAAATTCGGGGGTCTAGACAAAGGGTTGGTCCTTTTTGGTAAGGGCAGTGAGAGGACGTGCCAGGCAGGAGAAGGTGCGAATGAACCATCGGTAGAAGTTGCCGAACCCTAGGAAGGCACGTACCTCACATACACAGTCAGGTACGGGCCATGTGGTAACCGTTTCTGCTTTGGCATTATCCATCCAAATACCTTCGGGGCTGATGATGAAGCCAAGGTATTCGACGTGGGTGACATGGAACTCGCATTTCTGGGGTTCGAGTTCAAGATCAGCGTCCTGTAGGGCCTTCAGTACCCAACGGACATGTTCGATGTATTCTTCCTCTGTTTTGCTGTAGACAAGGATGTCATCGAGGTAAGCGGTGCAGAACCGATCTAGTCCCTGGCGCAGGACCTTATTGATGAATGCTTGCAATGTGACAGGGGCATTAGTGAGGCCAAAGGGCATGACATTGGAGTCAAAGAGTCCATAGCGGGTACGAAAGGCTGTCTTCTAACGTTCCTTCTTTTTCATCAGGACCTGGTTGTAGGCTCCACGGATATCCAGCTTGGCGTAGATTTTAGCGTTAGCGATATTCGTGAAGGTCTCGGTTAGCAGGAGGAGTGGGCCACAGTCCTTGATGGTTCCTTCATTCAGGCCCCGGTAATCGACACAGAGTCGCAGGGTACCATCCTTTTTTTTGATAAAATGTACTGAGGATGTGGCGGAGGAGGTAGAGGGACTGATGAAACCCTTGTCCAGGATTTCGTCCATCCATCCTTTTAGGGCAGCAAGTTCGGGTGGGGACAGATTGTATAGGGAACCAAAACGAGGAGTGAAGCCAGGCTTTAAAGATATTTCATGGTCCACTCCTGGGCGGCTCTGTGGTAGTTGTGTCTGTTCCTTTTCTAGGAACACAGGTAGGGAGTTGTGGTACTCAGGAGGAACAATCTCTTTGACCTCCTGTTGTTCCAATACCGTATGGTCCAGGGCGCGTTGGATGGCGTAGGCATTGAGAACATGGGGGATCTCATACTCAATTCCTTGGATACCCGTTACGTCAGGGGTGCAGTGCTTGAGACAGTAGTCTGATTCAAAGGTAACGGCGTTGGAGACGAAGCGTATTGTGACGTCATGTTGTTTCAGCCAGGGGATACCCAGGGTGAGGGGGTAACCACCGAGCTTGGTGACAAAGGCAGGAATGGATTCTAGGTGGTTATTTACTTTGAGATCGAAACAGGCGATATGGGTAATGGCCCCTGAGCTAATGGATCTCCCATCTATGATAGAAAGGTGGACAGGTGCTTTGAGTTGGGATAGGGGTAGGTAGTGACAGCTAGCGAAGTCTATATCCATAAAAGCATAACCAGTTGCTCTACAATCGATAAGGGCGTGGGCTCGGATTACGTGTTTGTTGTCTATAATGTCACAGGCGACTACCAAGTGGTTATCCTCAATTCCATTTTCCATTTTGTCCAGAGATAAACTAGAAATAACTAAACCAGGAGAAGACTTAACATGTCCCATGTCAGTGCCGATGGCTGCACATGGGACCACTAGTTTTCCAACTCTTCTTGGGCAGGGAGGGGCTCCCCAGGAGCAGAGGTGGTATGGGTGCTGGCCCCGTACATGGGACGAGGTCCCTTGTTGGGGCAAGCATGAGCCATGTGTCTATGTCCCCCACAGTAGAGGCATAGGCCTCGGTTGATCCGGTCTTGTCTTTCGGCAGTGGTGAGCTTTCGACGACCTGGGGAGAGGTCCATGGGGCTGGAGGCAGTGCCGGTGGCTGTTGAGGCTCGGGGTGGAGTGGGAGCGGGAGCGCGAGGCGCCACGGGGGTGCTGGTCCTCCAGGAGGAGGAGGAGGAGCCTTTCTTTTCGGCGGCACGGGGGCGAACGTTGTTGTCGAGGTGCTTGAGGAGGGAGAGGTAGTTGTTAAAGGAGTCCGGGATGCGGTATACATGTACCAGGGCATCCTTCAGTTTGGTACTGAGGCCCTGGTAAAGAGAGGTACGTTTGGCGGCATTATTCCAGAGGGTATCGACAGCTAGACACTGGAAGTCGGCAAGGTATTCCACGAAGGGGTGGTTTTTCTGTTGTAGGTTCCTCAGGGCGCGTTCCACTGTTTAGACCCTGTCAGGGTCACCAAACGCTTGTTCCAATTCGGTGAGGAGGGCGTCGATGTTTTCGAAATCGATGCCGTCGGCCAACACCCTGTGTTGTATCTGGAGGTAGGCCTGTCCGCGCAGGAGACCAATGGCGTAGCCAAGTTGGTGTTGTATGCCATTGAACCTGTGGCTGTCGCCCTGGAGTTTCATCCGGAGCTGGGTGACAAAAGGGCAGAGCTTGTCTGTGGTGCTGTCGAATTGTTCGGGGTTGGGGATTGAGACTGGCTTGTTGCTGCCAGCCGGGGCTGCGGCTCCTGCGGCAGGCATGAGGGCGAGGGCCATGTTTAGGGATGTGATGGTGGCATTAGCTTGTGTAAGGTTGGCTTCGACAATGAGGAGATGAGCTTCACGACCTTGGTACTCAGTTCTGGCATCGTCTCGTTCTTGGGTCAGGAGGTTGCAGTGTTGTTGTAGCTGCTGGTACTGGGGAGTCTGTTCGGTAGAGGGAGGGGCGGGCAGGCCCAATATCTGGTTGGCCAAGTTCCTGGCAAGGGTGAACTGGTTCCGGACCTGATCAACAGAATAGAATGTTCTTGGATGTCCTGGTCTGTCAGTGCCCCAAGGGCCTAAAGCGGGCCAACGACAGCGCAGGGAAGTAGGGACATGGGAGGGTGTGGGTTGGGTCCTGGTAGATGCAATCTTGTGTAACGGACAGGGTCTGAGGGTTGGGTAGCCTAAGGCACACCACGATCAGGGCAGGCAGGAATCCGGGGACGAGGTCTAGGTGCGGGGGTACAACCGAAGCGAGTTGTACAAGGCCCAGGGTTCAGGGGTTCAGGGTCAGGGTTCAGGGGTTTAAGAGGACGCGGGATAGGAGAATCTACTTCCTAGGTACAGGTGTCCGAAGGTGATTACCAGATTGCATAAAGAAAGTAAAATATAAAGGGGCATACCCCTTTATATACTAAGAAAATCCTCCGTGATCACTAATACAAAAGAAAGTTCTTGCCGTCGCGCACAACCTCAATTCCTCCATCAGGTTCCGGTATCTTCCCTTGCGCCGCAACGCATCCCAATCGTTTATACAAAGGAAATCCAACTATACAACCAAGAAAACCACAACCAATATATGCAACGAAAGACCCATGCGCATTCCATCTCTATAGCTGGATGGCCGTGACACTTTTGCTACTACAGAGGATCTACACCGGTGGAGGAGAGATATTGTTAGCAGCAAATACAAAAAACTTTAACGAAAACAAGAAGGACAAATCCAGAGACAGCAACACTTCCTTGACCAACTTCGTGAGCTGGAACGAAAGGTAGAAGACAAACTACAAAATCCACGTTCTCAAATCAGACTAAATCTTGATATCTTATATGGAAAGAAAGATGAAGTTAAGAAAAAGCTTGTCTCCCTAACAATAAAGATCATACTATTGAACGATAAGTTAGCGGAGTTTGTTTGTGAAGGATTGGAGGAAACAAACCACAGTGATATTGGTGAGGATGTTGATGGAAGTGACGACAGCTTGGAGGGTGGTGATGGGATTGGACATGATATCAGATATGATGGTGCAGACCTGATTGTAATACTGGATTAAATTTCAATTAGTTTGTACCTTTGAAATACTTTCTTAGTTCTTACCTTTTCTTTTTTGTCTTTTTCTTTTTCTTCTTCCTCTGTTTAATCACCCTCATCTTCACTTAGCAAAAATGGAATGTGGTGTGTTGTGGATGTGTGGTGTGTTGCGGATGTATGGTGTTGTTCAGGGTTGTAGTGTTGAGAGAAAAATGGTCCTGTATGGTATTAAGATAGAGAAGGTGAAACAGGTGTGGATGACCTACCTGTCAGGGCTGCCAAGACAGTAAGCGGCCGGGCCACTCTCGCAACTCAAGAATCTCGCAACGCCGGAAGAGACTGTACCGGTCGTCCAAATCGTTCTCATCTTCCCCAACAACCCACTCCATTGTATTGTACAAGGACTTGTAAGTTCAATCTCATCCCATGTACCCACTCCATCGCTTGACATGATGAAGACGCTTTCCTTGGGATACTTTTCCGTGAACCATAAGGTTTGCCATCATACTAAGAACAGCCATCTGATCATCCTTCCGTTTCTTGTCTCACTTTGACCTTTTGATGATAATCTGAATAGGAATGCTAACTCTTCCAAACGGAAAAATATAGTGGGGTAATAATGCTAGGGCAAGGGCGAACCTCTTATCCGCAGCGACAACTAGTGCGTTACTCTCCTTAATCGTCGCAACAATTCGTTTCCGAAAGCAACTACCTATGCTTGTGTCATATCACCATCTCCGATCCGTCCACCCTACCCACCCCATTAACCATTCACCCATCGCTCCATCTTCAGCTACCTCAACCCCCAAACATGCCGCCCCAAACCTTTCCATCAATATCATCTCCCCTCCAATCCCTCTACCCAGCTCTCATCCGCCCAATAATCGCCCCAGACTTCTGCCATCCTCTCCTCGCTGACGCAACCACCTACCTTGACCCTTTAATTGATGACACAACGATGTTCACCGCGCCGCAACGCATCCGCGAGATTGGCGTTGGGGTCGATGCTATTGTGCGCTCGCTACGACGCACTAATGCAGGCGGGGAAGTGAGCTGTGACGATCCAGCCACGATCAGGGAGGGCAAGAAGTTGCTCGAGCAAGTACGACGGGGCAGATTAAGGAGTCGGTTAGATAATGTTGGGCTCTCCTATTTCCTGCGCGGTCGAGTGTTGCGAGAAGGAGTCTGATGGATTTCTTACAGCAAAGTTTTAGTGCACCGACGGCTACAGAGGAGGTTCTTGCTCGAGTACAGGAGAGGAGGAAAGCTTTTGATGCGGAGATGAAGAGGGAGGAGGAAGAGGCCTTAAAAGCTTTCAAGGAGGGGCTCAGGAGGACTGTTGAGAATCGGTGAAGACAGCGGAGGCAGGTTTTATTGAACTAACAGGCGAATTTACTAATACCCCTATTTTCTAGAATAACACTGATTTTATAAGCCCGTCTCAAGCTCCTCCGTAACATGATACTCCATGATAGCATCCAGCAGCCATTTCAGAAGTTAGCTTACTACCAGCAGTATCCCGGCGGCTCAAGACTGCCTAATTCTTCTCATTTCCGCATACAACCCTTCTCGCCCAGTCAACATCATCCCAATCCGCACCTCTTATATCTTCAATCTTCAACGCCCATTCTCCAGCACTATTCCGTTTATCCATGTGTCCAATTACCCTTACCATAGCAGCTCCCGTCAACACCTCTAAGTCGGTATCCCATGGCCTACCCGCCTTCGGGACCACATATTCGCCGGGCAGGAACGGAGGTCCAACCAACAAGATATCGCAAAACTGGAACCTCTGACGTGTACCACCACCCATCGCTCTGTTTTGTAGGACCTTGGCTTTTCTTTTGTAAGCAACGCTACGGACCGCACCCTAGAACTGACACCCAAAACCCAATACTTGAAGTATAACTCACCAAAAAGCTCCACATGAACATCTCCTCCAAATTTCCCCCTGGCTACCAACGTTGCAACCTCCACTGCATCCCTAATATGAAAACACGTCTTCACCGTCGTATCAGCACTCAAGCCATGTATCGGTGATCTTTCCTTAACAACAGCAGGAAATGGCGGACGCTCAATTGGCTCCTTATTTCCGCCCCTATCCGGATAAAGTGGCCACGCTGGGGTACTCTTTCTAACCTTGCTAGCCGAGCCTGATACATCTATCCAGCGAATTTTTCCGTTCTTCACGACATCTACAGCCCGACAACGCACGATGATGGCACCATCATTGTTATTCTTCCCCGGCTCGGGATGCCTGCATTTGGTGCTACTGGCCATATGCTCTGAAGTTGGTGGAATCCTCCCGCCTGAGAAGAACCCTTCCTTTGCAAAGGAGGATGATGGCTGTTCTACAGTAGGATCATACGAGCTCTGAGGATGCTCGCATGTTGAGGTTACATCGTTGCTTGTGGCTCCAATATCTATCTCCAAAGGATCGGGGGCCTTCCCAAACGTGCTAAGGGTATCATCACCATAGTCACAGGGTTCATCATCAAAGTGCTTGAGGGCGTATTCTGAGGACTGTCCTAAGATACCCTCCATGTTATCCAGAAGGGCTATTCTTCCATTCGAGCCCCTAGGGCAAGGCCCTGGCCTGGATCCTGGGGTTGCCGCCGAACCAAAGAGATCTGGAACCCCAGCTCCACCCACGTAGTCACTACCTCGTCCCAGACCCAACATGTTATTATTCTGTTTGTCTTGCTCGTGAGACCAGGCTTCGTCATAGTCGAACATCATTGTAGCACCATAATCTGTCTGTGGGTTCTCATGCCCGCAGGGATCTTGACCCCCGTCTCCGCCGTCTGGAAGTCTCTCGCCACCCAGACAGGTCATATCATTACCCCCTGATCCGCACATCGTCAGATCGTCTATGCCCTCGGGAACTTTGACAATACCCCGAACAAACGGCTTCGATTTCCAGACATCTTGAAGGTGGGACTCTTCTGCGGAATGCATACGTGATCCCCCAAATCGAAACCCGCGTCGTCCATTTTTGCACTCGGAGTCAATATCGTTCCTGCCCGAGCCCCTTCGAGTGGCTCTAGCTGCTAAACCAGAGGATGCCCGTTGTGTCTGGCATGAGTGACCTACTGAAATGTTAATAAGTGGGAGGATATGTTTGCGGGAGGTTCCTGGCGGCTACCTGTGGCGAGCTCCATCCTAATCCTGCCACGCTGGCCGAGCAGTGATGTACCGTAATGAATGAAAGAATGGCAAATGCACTCTATTCAAATAATATTACCACACCATGAGTGATAGATTCTCAAGCTGAAAAATGGTCAGGGCTCACGTATCCGCGTGAGAAAGCCCGCAGTTTTCTCGCCAGCGCCAATGATGTTTGTGCAGTGTCATGAAGGGGCGATGTCAATGATTGCAGAGTGGATGGCTAGAGGGTTTACAGGTTGCAGGGATGCATTGTACCCAGCACGGTATGAGATGTGCCACAAACTACGGCCAAGCAAACCCTGGGCTCGCAGAGTATTGGTACTATACAGTAGTCTACTCGAGTACGGTACGGTGCAGTACTCTACCAGTACTCTTTCACGAGGGCCAAGGACTGCCCGGCCTAAAGTTATGTTGGCCACTACGGTAGTTCCTGATATAGTGATAAGTTACTGGCTACCGGTATTCATACTTTTTCCATCTCATCTATTTTGAGCTTAACTTATTGCTCATCACCTGAACCCAATACCGGTAGATGACAGGTTGTCCATGGGTGATGACGATGGCCTAACAAAGCAAACTCTTCCCCGGCCAACTTGTGAGCAGATCTTTTGTTCCTCATATCATACCACAATCTTTGTGAACTTTCAAGAAACCAACTATTTCCCCCTCCCCCGCATCACCATCATCATCACCGCCATCATCAGACCTTTGAGAGGGAGGCCTGCTGGAATCCGCCTGGTTCGTTGCAAGACCCCCTCTGGTTGGAAAAGCGCTTCCGTACGCGACTCTGATTGGTATTGAGGTTTGTCTTTCGTTTTTTCATCACGATACCATACCCCGCTCCTTATCGTTATCCAACAGAGCCTCATTCTCTCCTTCTCTGTGTTTTGATGTGTGGAACTTTGGATGAAGCCTCCCAATATCCCTACCGCTGTCGAATCTTTAACCCCCACAACTAATTAGCTCTATTCGCATTTACAAGCTACCATAATCTACTGGTACCCCCTTTCTCATCTATCATAGCAACTGAATCCGCACCCCTCTACCACACGCTAGGATGTTTGGATCTTCCGTAATAACACCCGTCCCCACCCATACTTTTCCTGGTTTCTCGCAGCATGCAACTCCTATCGCAGCTAGTACTGACATTCGCAGAGAAAACCCTTCTCGGCCGTGACAGTACATATCGAGAGACTCACTTCCGAAGAGTATGACGAAAACGATGTGAGTGGTATCCCAGAACTTATCGAAGCCGTCAAGCTCCAAGATTCCGGACCAAGCGAGGCCAGCCGGGCCATTCGAAAGAAGCTGTAAGACATATTTTCACCCGTTAACCAGCTGTCAAGAATGTGTTCACAACTAACGGAATTTCCACTCCCCAGCAAGTACGGCAATGTCCACCGCCAGCTTAGGGCCCTAACAGTCAGTGAATCCTCATCCCCTCCGTCTTTCGCTCCATGTTAACGTTCCGACAGATTCTCGATGCCCTTATCGGAAATGCTGGTGCCCGTTTCCAGCGTTCTTTTGCTGACGAGCCCCTACTCGAGCGTCTCCGCGTTACTGCAACAGACACTATGACCGATCCGGATGTCAAAGCAAAGATCAAGGTTCTTTTCGGGCAATGGGCACGCGAATATAAGGACGTCCAGGGACTCACTGGGATTGCCAATCTCTATAAGCAACTTCCCCAGCGCAAGAGGGCGAGACCTCAGCCCCAGGGTCTTCGTGAAACCAGCCCCGACCCTGAAAGGGCCACATCGCCAGACCGCCAGGCCTCCCGAAGCGGGCGTGCCCCCACGTCCCCCAAAGTTCCTACTTCGCCGAAACACTCACCCATCACCCTTGGTCCGTCTGAAGCCCTTATCAGTTCCTCCAAGACGCACAAGAAATCCAGCTCGAAAGCAAAGAACAAGACACCCTCGTTCGATCTTGAGAAGGAGAAACCCGCGCTGTTACAATCTCTCGCGAACGCCTCTGTTGCCTCCACGAACCTTAAAAATGCACTGAAGCTCATTAATAGAGAAAAGGAGCGACCTTCTGAGAATGCCGAGGTACTCAAAAGATTTGAGGCATGCAAACAGCTAAGACGAAGCATTCTGAGGTTTATCCAGCATATGGAGAGTGAGCAGTGGCTTGGAGGGCTGATCCATGCCAACGAGGAGCTAGTTGAAGCGTTGACGCTCTATGAGGTACTCAACAAGCCCATAGAAGAAGACTCTGATAGTGAAGAGGAGGACTGGAACTCCACGCCAGAGAGGAGCATCGACGAGGTTAGCTCCGGCATGGGAAAGATGCGGATGCATGGTCCAGGAGATGAGGATAGGTCACCATTACCCGGCAGGCCTACTAGCGCCAGGGCCAAAGGGAAAGGCACCGATTACTTATATCGGAGTGAGCCTGAGGAAGTGGAGGATCCAGATGACCCCTTTGGGGACAATCAGTATCGCATGGAAGAGACCTCATCAACAGAACCATCCGGATTGAAGTGGTGAGTGAATATCGCTAACCATCGCAATCTAGAGATTCTGACATTTATCAAGGCGGGTGGTTTAGGGCCAATCAGCGCCCCCAGTACCGCACTCTGCCGTTCCGGAGCACTTCTCGGGAGGCTAATAAATGACTGTCTTCATCACCTATTTTTTGCTCGCGTCGTGTGCACCTTATTGGCCTAGATGGCCATGTAGTTAACGCGGAAAGTCTATTCCGGGGAACGGATGGCTCCTCCCTCGGCCGCCCTTTTTTGTTTATCCTCTCTGCCCTACCTTCTTCTACCTTGCCTTAACCCAACCAGAAGCTCTATCAAACTGCAGTGTGAATGTAGTTCAGTTGAAATTCTGTATAAGCACACTACAACTACACATTAAACGTTCTCCCACACCCTACAGATGCATGGCGTAGATGGTAATCAATGATATCATAGTCTTCGCTACTACCGGTATCATACACCCTTGCGAGCATCTCTATAGTACTGAACGCTTGTCTCAAAAGTGTGATCCAATCATCGGATAAGCCATCTAATCTAATGACTTATTCACACCTTAACACCTACCGCTCACAAGGAAAGAGCGATCTCAGCCAGCCGGGGATAAGGGAGAGAGGAAGGGGGGTGGAGAGTGTAGGAAAGAGGAAAAGAATCAACATATATCCCTGACTTGGCCAGTACTCGAGTGCATGTAGAAGTGGGGAATGCATCTCACAAGATCCATCCATTCGTTTGGGGTGGGGCTGGGGAGTCTCGGACCAGAGAGGGGATTGCCAAATTCCTCGAGGTCTTGAGGTGCCTATGGTACGGTACCGTAGTACTGGTGTCGGTCCTACCTCTTTGGGATCCTAGAATGGATGGTGTGTTGCGCTGGCCATATCCCTCCACTTTACCATGATAATGATCTGTCATTATTACTGGCTATAACCTGGTGGAGAGTGGACCTGATCGTGATTTGACTAATGCTCTCAACAAAGGATATCAAAAAGCAGAAAGACCAAGACCAAGAGAGATGAACAAAAGGACCAATGTCAATTCCATGATTGTCATGCCTGGTTCGCTCATCTAACTGGTGGTTGTGGCTTATTGTTCAAGTGCGTGACAAAAGTGCAGAAAAACATGCAAGAAAAGCTAGCCACGACATGACGATTTGTGGGTGTGCAATCCCCCATCTGACTGCTAAAAATACACTACAGGGTGGCCCTAGGCCACACTGGTACTCTACTTGTATTAAATGGCCTGAACTAAGTGTGACAGGGAGTAAACTCCCGTCCCTTCCTCAAAGGGCAACCTGAGTAATCGTATGAAGGTGGTGGCGTCCACTACCCCTGGAAGCTTGCAAGCTCGCGACGAAGGGCACTCCAAAGGAGTGCCCGCCATCTCAAAGTTAATTTCATACTCAGCAATAAATTACAATATTATTACATGCAATGCCAAATATTACAACAAAACAATAATTTCATAAATTCAAGTTCTTAAAGCTCATGATTTTTATTCCCATCCTTTCCCACGATCTCAAGCTGTTTTCATAATTTGTTTCATAGCTTTTTGATCTTATTTTGCTACTTTCTAGTAGGCTCTTGAGGATTTGTTCATCCTCCTTGTTGTCACGGCCACCAGGCCATGGAGGAGGAATGGGCATTAGGGTTGTTGATTGCATATAGGGGTGGTGGTTTTCTTGGCTTCATTGTTGGATTTCCTTTGTATCTTGATTGGAGCATGTTGCCACACAACAGAACTTGGGAGAACCAGATGGAAAGATCACAGCTGTGTGCGATACCAGGGACTTTCCTTTGTGTTAGTGATCGAGGAGGATTTTCTTAGTATATAAAGAGGTGTGCCCCTTTATATTTTACTTTCTTTAAGCAATCTGGTAATCTCCATTGGACACCCTTTATTACATTTCAGGGAAATACCTTATCCACCACCATACCCTTTCACAATACTCTTGTTTGGCCTGACCAGGGTCGAAATTTCTTCTTATTACTTTGATGATAGGGTCTTCACTCCCTCTTATTTCACTCCCCTCCTGGCAGCCTGATAGGGCTTCGTAGAGTCACTGATCACCAATGTTTCAACCTCAGGGCCCCCCCTTACTTAAACAGCCATGCAGTGGCAGCACATCAAGTTTACCACGATACTTGGAAAGCGACTATGAAGATGCTAATGCCGCCTTTATGCATATGTTGGAAGAGTTGTTTATGGTATAGTAGATGGAACCACTGATCAATTTTATAAAAACCTTTTCCATTATCATGCACATGATAGAAATAGTACACAAAGACAATGGAAAGGTAACTGATGGGCTTACCAAGCTTATCACCATCCTTACTGAGAAACTGGATGTCCTTTGCGCCTCCACCTTATCTCAGCCTACTCCTACCACTGCCCCACTGGCACCCCCTACTACCAATACTACAGAGCAGCCCTCTGTTCCTCCTCTACCTTCTACCCTTCCCCAGACCCAACCTTCTGGCCTGGCAGCTCTGTCTTCTTACCTTAGCATTACTTGGAGGACAAGGAAGCCTTCTCCGCAATATACAAAGCCTGGCTCCAAGCCAGCCAAACCCTCCTCTACCTCGGTTAAGCCCCTCGCCGACAAGGAAAAGGGCGTTGTCATGCACAAGCATCACCTCATCATCAAACGAAACATTACCCCCCTTACCATTATCACTGTACAACTACACAATAGCAGCAACCAGGCCCTAGCCTCCACTCTTATTCCCTCTATCTCCTTTTGGGATGGGCATGTTACTCTCACCACTTTGGACATGGTTAGAGCCACGACTGTCTACAGGAAAGTTGGCACCTTCTGGTACCTCATTCCCAGTGCCTCTACTATCTACCTCGACACCCCTGCCACCAAGCTTCAGGTACATGGCATTGCTACCTCTACCACTATGGCATCACTTACCCAAGAACTTACTACATTTAACTCAGGCTTATCTCTTACCAAGCAACCTAGGTGGCTCACCTCTGATGTAGTACATATTAGCAAACTCGCCTCAACTGTTGTTATTTCCATCACTAGACCCAAGGCTCGGTCTTTTAGTGGCAAACGCCTCTCTGCCTTGTCCAACACCTACCGAACAGAGCACCATCTGTCCTTCAACAAATACAGTCAGTATGCTAACTGCGATAAGGTTGGTCACCATAGCATCAAATGTATCCTGTCTGCATCCTGCCGATGGTGCCTCCTCCCTCACCCTAGTGGGGGTCACTCCTTGTCACGGCCACCCGGCTATGAAGATGGGATATGCATGGGTTTCTCGTTGCATATATTGGTTGTGGTTTTTTTGGTGGTATGGTGGGATTTTCTTTTGATGCATGATTGGGATGTGTTGCCACGCAACGGAACAAGGCGGAACATGATGGAAGAGTCGCAGCTGCACGCGACGCCAAGAACTTTTTTTTGTATTAGTGATCATGGAGGATTTCCTTAGTATATAAAGGGGTGTGTCCCTTTATATTTTACTTTCTTTACGCAATCTGGTAATCTCCTTTGGACAACCTTTCTTACGTTCCTGGGAATTATCTTATCCACCACGATACCTTTCTTTGGCCCGACCGAGGTCAAAGTTTCCTTTCATCAACTCCATCATGGGGTCTTCACCCGCTCTCGTTCCGCAACCTCCTACACAGCCTGACGGGGCCTCACAGTTTTGTGGGCAGGGTCGCTTATCACCTGTCTCCCGGGCTCAGGGCCCCCCCCTCCCTTAAATGCCCACGCAGAGGCACCACCACTTCTTTACCACGATATTCAGCAGATGATTTTGATGGGAGCTGTAATGGCGCCTTCATGAAGATGTTTGAAGATCTGGCAGAGGCAGAATACATTGAGTCACCACTCACATTTGGAAAAGCCTTTCCCATCCTTATCCACATGATGCAAGTTTTGCACGCAGACTACAGGAAGGCGACCGATGGGCTAACCGAGCACATCACCGCCCTAACCGAGGAGTTGGACGTCCTTCGCGCCTCCTCTCTACCTCAGCCTGCCCATACCACTGCCCCGCCGGCACCTCCTGCTACCGACATGACAGAGCAGCCCTCTGTTCCTCCCCTACCTTCTACCCTTCCCCATCCCCAACCTCCTGGGCCGGCAGCTCCCTCTTCCTGGGCTACCGTCACTAGGAGGGCAAGGAAGCCTTCTCAGAAACCCACGAAGCCTGGCCTCAAGCCAGGCAAACCCCCCTCTCCCTCGGTTAAGCCCCTTACCGAAAAGAAAAAGGGCCTTACCATGTGCGAGCGTCGGCTCATCACCAAAAGAGACGCTGCCCCCCTTACATCTACTGCTGTACAGCTACGCGGCAGCATCAACCAGGCCCTGGCCTCCACTCGCATCTAGTCTGTCTCCCTCCGGGATGGACATGTTACCCTTACTAGTATGGATACCGTTAGAGCGACCACTGTCAACAGCAAAGTTGGCACCTTCTTGTACCTCATTCCTGGTGCCTCTACCGTCCATCTCGATACTCCTGCCACCGAGCTTCTGGTACATGGCATCGCTACTTCTACTCCTCTGGCATCGCTTGCCCAAGAGCTCACCACCTTTAACTCTGGCTTGTCTCTTACCGAACAGCCTAGGGGGCTTACCTCAGATATAGCATGCATCGGCAAACTCGCCTCAACTGTTGTTATTTCCATCACTGGACCCAAGGCTCCTTCGTTTATTGGCAAACACCTCTCTGCCTTCTCCAACACCCACGGTACCGAGCGCCGTCTACGCTTCAACAAATACACCCAGTGTGCTAACTGTCACAAGTTTGGCCACCATAGCATCAAATGCATCCTGCCTGCCTCCTGCTGCTAGTGCCTGCTCCCTCACTCCACTGGGGATCACTCCTGCCCCACCGCTACCTGCCGCCTTCGTGGCCGTCCCTGCAGCCATACCACACTCAGGTGTGTGAACGGTGATGGCCCACACGAATCCCACTCACCTGTCTGCCCTTCTGGCCCCCGTCCAGCTACCCAAGAGTTTGAGGATGCGGAGGAACATGGAGAAGAGGTGGATATGGACAGTTCTACATAGGTTGGGATACCTATAAGAATATTGCTCTAGGGGTGTCTTGGGTTGGCTATTCCGGTGCGAGGGGTGGGCTTTATGCCTGCCTCGGTTGATTGCTTAGGGGAGACTGGCTTTGTACCACCCC